CCTGACCTTGAGAAGAGGATCATTGGGGCGCCTGAAAGCGCAGGCAGCAGGAAGTGGCATTTTATCTGCTTTGGGGTGTCTGCAAACTGGTTCTGGTGAGTTACAACCCTTCAGTCCCGCTGGAGAAGTGTCACTGCATGGGCAGGTTGTGCTCTTTCACTACCAATTTGTGCTCAGGTGACTGTAAAATGCTGAAAACCAGCCCAGGACTGCTCGGCCCGCATGGGAATTCCCAAATGGAGTGAAAATGCTGGACAGATGTTGGGTGAAACGCCAGTCATCTCAGCCCTCCTGATGCACAGGCTCTGAACAGCAATGCCACAGGAGAGAGCAGAGATCTAAGACATTGTAAGAGATCATTAAAAGTAAATTTAGGTGATGAGGATCCTAAATTGGTTTCACACCTATTTTGAGGACTGTTGCCACAGCGGCTCCCAGTGCAGAGGATTAACCAGCTACTCCAAGTAAATGGGGAGAGAAAGGAAAACCGGCCAGGGGGATTCAAATAAAGAAGAAATAAAAGAGAAAGAAGAAGAATCTCTTTCCGCTCTTGGCCACAAGGCTGGTGTCTCTGAGGCGGGGATTGGGACGGGCTCAGCTTGCCCACGGACAGGTTGTGGCAGAACCCCAATTCCAAGCTGCCACACCAAGAATGTCACTTCCCTTGATGTGGTTTTATCTTCTCAGTGATGGAAAGGTCCATGTGGGTATGTGAAGGGATGTTAACATTGTAAGAGGCTGGGTGAGAGCAGAACAGGGTGGCAGCAAGAAGTCCCCATGCAAAAAGCCCTCTCAGTCTTCATGAGTCACACTGATAGCAAAGCGGGGACTCAACACAGTGAGAGAAAAACTCCTGCAAAACCCACACGTTTAGGAACAAAGACAACTTCTAAAGGGTGTACACGAGTAACACTAAAAGGGATGGGTACCAAGAGTTATTTGGTAGGTTGCATCAGCGGAAAGCTCAAACGCACAAAGGGAATCCGTTAGTAATTCCCACAGGGAACATGGGGATGGGACATTCACTGTATTTAAAGATACCAAGATGACTGAGCAGCGCATAAAGTGAATCCCTCACGCCCCTGAGGATGCTCTGCATGGGTGCAATGTGAGTTGAGCATCTCAGCCCATGTCCATCCTTCACTCCGGCTCGGTCTGGAGCCACCCGGAGCAGGGAACACGGGCTGGGACATGTGGGATGCTGTGCCCTGGGGCGGGATGCAGCAGTCTGGAGTCAGAAGGGGCAGCAGCTCCAGCCCCTGGTCCCCCAGAGCAAATAGACCAGGCTAAAGATAGTCCCAGCCTGCAGTGCCATTGCAGGGGGTGGATTTCAGCGCACAGAGCCACTGGGATGAGACATTCCTCTCCCCAAGGAGCCAGACAAGATGACTGTATATGGGCAGGAATTCCCCTGCCATGGGCTTCTCCCGCCGTGGTAAACGCGATCCTGTGGTGGCACAGCTGGGAGAGCTGCGTGTCCCACAGGACCACGGGATCCTCACTGTCAGGAGCCCACGAGAGTGCTTTATCCCAGCAGAGAGGCAGAGCGGGGCAGGAGAAGTGCTACAAGCAGCTGCACAAAAACCTTTGCTTAAATTTAGCAGGTTTTAACCACCAAACAGATCTGGAGCCCCAGCCTCCTGGTGCTGCTTCACTGGGGTATCCACAAGCACCTAAACCTGTGGCTGGCAAAGAGCGGAGCTGCCGCCCTGCCACTGCGGATCTGGTGATCAAACTGAGCCGGGACCACGCGAGGAGAGGGGCTGGGGAAGGGCAGAGCACAGGGACTATCCCAGCCTGCTCCGTGCAGGCAGCACGGCCAGGGTCCGGCAGGGTGGGCAGTGGGGAACCGTCCACCACGGCAGGGCATGGAGACTGCTCACATCTTCTCCCTCAGGCCTGCACAGAGCTGCACGTCTGCGTTCAGACTCGAGCTCTCACGGGAGTATGGGGGAGCAGATGGTTTCCACTGACTTCTGCAGGAACTGGAGCAGAGCAGTGCATTTGGGCACTGCCTTCAGCCAGAAAAGCAGATCAACTCCCCAAGTACTCCATGATCAAGCACGGATCACGTCACGCTCCTTTCCTAACCAGAGGTATGACCAGCTGTGAAGCAGAATGACTTTACTCCCACATTAAATGACATACCATATTCTTTGGACTATCCAATTTCTTTGCAACCCACACCAAGCCTCAACCCTGCAACTGTCCTTGCACAAGCTAATCCCAGGGCTGGCACAGAACCCCGCTCGAGTAGGGGTCTGCTCTGTGGAACTCAGCACTACAGCTCAAACAAAGCCTTTTGTAATGCTTTTTCCTCCTTTCCTTCTTCTTTTCCAGTTTTAAGGTCAGAACTAAACCCAAGCCAAGCTGAGGTTGTGATGATGGTTCTGCTCGGAGCTTCCTGTTGCTGTACCAGAACACTTCCCACAGTACAGGGACAGCGACAGATTGGCACATCATGGAATAGGTGCTATAGGAACCACACAGTTCTTAGAAGCAAAAGATTTCTTCTCCCTCCCTCCCCCCTCAAAAAATAACCCACTTAATTCACATATTTCTCTCTATACTGTATAGATATATTATATATAGACACATTTTTCTGGTAAACATTTACAAGATATTGTAAAGAACATTGAAAAGATAGATCTCCATTTGCATAACAAAGCACACCCACGTACTCCAGTGTACAAGGACACACAGTAAAGTACAATCAATAAATAAATAAATACTTCTCCCAGAAGTTACTCAAAAGACACTGCTATCGAGCGGCCCAGAGACACTCTCAGTCAACACACAGCAAATATGGTGCAGAATTTCTTGGCTGTTTCTGTGTAAATTAAACCAGAAGCTTGAAAGATAAAGTGTCAGCGCTGCTGCTTGGTAAGACTCTGTAAGCTGACCTATAGGTTCTGATCCCTCTGAACAGGGAGGATGGAGCAATTCCCCTTTGGAGAAGGGGATGCCTGTGCTGGGAGGCAGAGGGAACAGGCACAGCCTGGTGGGGAGGGCATGAGCCTTTTGCTCTGCTTTGTGGAAAGATGGAAGATTCCCACACCACGCGGCAGAGCTGGAGCTCACGGGCGCCTGGTCCCTGTGCTGCTGCAGACCAAGCACTCTTTGGAGACTCAATGCAGACAACTGCTTCAAGGAATCTCCTAGCTTGCTGGTACACATCTGTCTGTTGGGGTGAGGGGAAAGGAAAAGCTCCTCATTGCCCTCACCCCCTGCTGCAGCCTCCAACGGGCTCAGTACACGCTACTGGCCCCTGGTTTTTCCAGCTGCAGCCTCCATGTCCCAGCACTACAGAAGGAGCAGCTGGTTTGCTGAGGAGCTGCAAACCACGTCAGCTCCACAGAGCTGCTCTGGAGCAGCAGTTTTCCCTTCTGCAGATTCACATCCCTCTCTATTCCTGCGAGCGACACCTGACACACACCACGAGTAAATAGGGAACACAGCACAGACAGATGCTCCATAGAAGGGAGGGCCCCTTTCCCCTTCTGGTGAGCAGCATTCCAGCAGCAAGAGCAGGGCCTTACCTTGCGGAGGGGAGGAGGAGAGCACACACACACACACATCACACACGTCACATTGCATGGAGGGGGAAACACGGGTTTTGCAGCAAAACTTGAGAGCAAGTACCCATAGAGAGAGCTACAACCCAGCACCTTCCCCACTGCTGCAAGCACGGCTCCTGGCAGCTCCTGTGGCCATGGCAAAGCCCTTCCTGGCTGCACCAGACCTACCACCCACCCACCCCTCTCCTTTGCCTTTAGTGTTTTTACCTGAGTTGAAGAATGAATCCAAACCTTCCGTAGCGCAGCCTTAGCACGACGGGCATCCCCGCTCTCACACTGGCAGAGCTGGAGAGGCGCTTCATGCGGCGTGCTCCAGGGGCCACAGAAGTGCACCTTCCAACAGCAAAGCCCACTCAGGGACCTCGGGCTATTTTCCTCTTCACAGGCATGTGAAAGAAGCCCACCAAGACCTAACTGCAGACTTGCAGTGGACTTAAGGAGCTTTGCAGCCAGCCCCAGAAGCACACAGAAACCCCACAGACACCAAGGGGACTGGTTGCACTGTCCTTCTTGGAGCAGCTGGTCTTTAAATGAACAGAGGAGGAGACAGGCACCTTCAGAGGGAAGGTGAGGACAGACACCCACCCGGGAGCTCTGACTTGCCCACTGGGGAGCTCTCCTCTAGCAGAGGAACCAGACTCCTACCACGAGCAGCTAGAGTAAGGCAGGTAAGAAAACCTCAAGTCTAGAGTTCCCAGAGGAGGTTGGGACCAGATTTTCCAGTGTTCAGACAGGCTGGATTTTGAAAGAAAAGCCCAATGCTGAATTTGGAGCTCTTCTGAAAACCCACCCAGAGACAAAACTCTCGTGTGCTCAGATACTGTAGTAACAAACAGTGTAAAAAACCCAGGGAGAGAACAGAGCCCTAAAAATAATCCTACAGGGGATGCATCGAAGGACGAGATCAAAGGGGGAATTTGTGTGATCAAAGTCCCTCTCTGTTACTGGCAAAACCTTGTGATGTTGGTCACAGGCTGAGCACTGGCAGCACCGGGCTTGTGGGGCTGGTTCCCGGTGCCTGCCCAAGGAGCAGGTCTATCCCACTGCAGCAAAGGCTGCCAGGCCCAAGGCAGCCCCAGGGAGGGGGGAAGCTCCCGGCCCCCCTCTCGCACACCCCCAGCTCTGACCTGGATGCTGGTGGCTGCCTCGGCAGTTTTTGTGTGCTCCCAAAGCAAGTCCTCAGCAATCAGATGCAATTGTACAGATCTTTGGTTAAGTCACTGAAGAAGGCTGCAAAGATGTGAGCCAGGACCACTGGACCTAACACTGAACACAGCACATGGAGAGCTAAGGGTACTTCCAGCTGAGACAGCAGCATGTGTCCAACTACCTTGTTTCCACAGGCACGGCACTTGGAGAAGGGGAGGAAGCATTGAAGGGGAGTCCTGGCTCATTGTCTGGATCTCGTCTTCCCCGTGTCCTTCACTTGTTCTCGATCAGAGTCTGGACTTTATAGACGAGGTCCCGAGCCAGCTTCAGGATCTGCTTGGTGTTGTGCCGCTCGGCCATCTCTGGAACACAGACAGGAGGAGGTTAGACCCGAGCACCCCGTGTCTCGAGGAGCCCCCCAGCCCTGAGCTCCAGGCAGGAGCTGAAGCCACAAATCCCTGCCCAAGTTCCCAAGCACCATCCCCCAGAGATGCCTGACTGAGGAACCATCACTAACAACTCATGTGAGGGTGATTAAAGCCCACAGGAAGCACAGCCTGCACTCACAGCTCCCGCCAAGCACAGCAAGGTGGGCTCTGTGTTATACATCTACCAGTATAGCCCAGATACGACTGTCTGTAGTCAGACACGTGCTGCCTACATCCACGTGGCTGCCCAAGAGAACATAAGCTGTACCATTGAAAAACTTGATGATGTCTGTAAAATCCATGTTGTTCTCCAGGATTATGTCCCGGTACATTTCCACCAACGCCAGGGCGATGAAGAGCACATAGTGAGCAGAGGAAACGTGTGCAGCTGCCCAGATGGTCTCCCAGACAGCAAAGACATCATCATACACCAGCTCTGTAACAGAGGAGAAAGCCCAGCAGTTACTGCACCAGCCCTGGGTTTACAACCAGCCTGTGTCACAGGGCTCACAGCAGCACTGGGAAGACACTGGTGGTTCCTTCCCACAAGAACCTGCTCCAGTTGGAAGCAATAAGCAAGTCACCACAGCGACAGATATCCCGGCCTGCAGCGGGTGGCGCAGGCTCAGGACACAAACCCAGCAGGGGCTCAGCAGCAGCTCTGGAACAACAGGTTCTGTATCTAGACAGAAAAATCAGCCCCAGGCCTACCAGGGAAAAGCAGAACAGGAGCGTGGTAAGAGTTCAAACAACCAGGGCTGCAGAGGGCACATGGAAGCATGGCAGAGCTTTGCCTTCCCTCCCCGTTCGGTGGGCTCAGCACACACCTCTCTTGAAGTCCAGGAGAAACCAGCGGTAGCAGAAGTAGAAGTGAGTGTAGTCACCGTTCTGGTGCATCAGCTCGAAGAGCTCAGAGTCCAGAATCTGTCAAGAAAAGCAAAAGGAAAGTGAGCAGTGACTGGAGGCAGCAGTCATTCCCGTGCCTGCTCTCCCCAGTCCCACTGCAGCTTCCACCCAGCTCCTCCCTCCTTCACAATCCTGGCACACGTTACTCCAGGCTGACTCTACAGCCTCCTGCTTCCCAGCACCGAATGAGACCCACCCCCAAGAACAGCTTTCCCCCTCTTGGTTTGAGGCTGTGTCCCCGTGCCAGGACCCCGTTACCTGGATCAGAGATCTCATGTTGGCAAAGTGGGTGTCCATGGCTCCTCCATGGGGGAAGTTCTGATTCATCCTCTTCATCAGCTCAGTGAAACAGCTGAAGGCCAGAGCCTCTGTGCAGGGAAGAGACAGTCACTGGGGCTGCAGGGACTGCTGCATCCACCCCACCACAACCCACCCACAGCAGGGACATCCCTCCTGCTCCACACAGAGCCAGGGCCTCACTGCCTTGGACAGACAGCTCAGGCTGCAACAAGGACACACTGTCCCCAGGCTGGGCTCCTGGGAGTCACTCAGCATCAAGCACAAAAGGAGTCCTGCTGCTCCACACCTCTGAGCACAGGACAGCTCAAAGCAGATCCCCCCTGTGCTCCCACACACGTACAGGGAAAGCAGAGGCACCCGCTCACCATCATCCAGGATGACCAGGAGAGGGGCCAGCAGGTCACACATCCCCTGCACGTAGCCGATCTCAATGTGCTGCCAGATGTAGCTGTGTGAGAGAGCAGGAAAGGTGGCCTGTGAGCCCTCCCCATGCCACAGCCTGACACCTCGCTTCCCAGCTTGCCTCCATTCCCAGGACACCAGCATTTCCTACATGCTGCCATGAGCACAAGGCTGTGTTCAAGGCCAGGTTGGACACAGGGGCTTGGAGCAACCTGCTCTAGTGGAAGGTGTCCCTGCCCGTGGCAGGGGTTGGAGCTGGAGGAGCTTTAAGGTCCCTTCAACCCAAACCAGGCTGGGATTCTATGATGAAGTTCCCATGGAGACTTTAATAAGCCATGCCTGGCACAGCCCATGGCCATGGCATGGAAGTCAGTGTGGGGAAAAGCAGCATCAGAAGGCACAGCAGGGCGAGGTGGTTGGCCAAAGTGTGTTAATTCATCTCACTCTCCCTCTTCGCCCTCAGTTCATCCTCTTGCCTCTCTCTGCACAACGTTGCTGGTTTCCCCTCCCTGGACCCCATGTCCCAGGAAGCAACCAGCCCGTGGATATCTTCCCATATTTGGTAGCAAGTCAAAATGTGCTCAGAAAGGGCTCACATCCACTGCTGGCACAAGGGAACAATCTTTCCCAGCCTGCCCACTAGTCCTCCAAAGTCTGCTGCATTGTAGCTCTTATCCCAGCAGAGATCTCCAGCGCTGGCTGTCAGATAAAGCGACAGCTCTAATGAAACAGCAGCTTCTCCTCATATTTGCAAGATGAGTAATGATATTTCAGCTTTCGCTGCGCCAGCTGCTGAGCTGGAGCTGGTGCATGTCACCCAGCAACCCCTTAGTCACAGGGACTGAGCAAAGAGAATCAGATGCCCTGGGATCGCTGTCTCCCCGTTCCTGGGTAGGCACTGAGCACTCGCTGCTTCAGGCACATCCTCATTAGCACCACAGCTCTGCAGGCTCATCCTCATTACAACGTTTTCCAGACATATTCCAGGGAGCAGGTGGGCTACACCGGGTTCGGAATGTCTGAGCAGCCCCAGGGAGCCTCTGCTTTGGCCACGCACCCAGACACAGCAGCCACCGGGCAGAGCACAAAGGGCAGATGCTGGACCCCTCAGCGTGGTAACTGTGAGTCCTGGGGCTGCAGCCCCAGTTCTGGGGTGGGGAGGGGATGGTGTTGGTCAGTGAGAAGCTCCCCATGACCCATCAGCGTGGGCTTGAGCCCAGAACCCCTCCGTGTGCTGGCCTGCACCCCCAGAGCGGGAGCAGCAGATTGAGGGAGGGGATTCTCCCCCTCTGCTGTCCCCTGGGGAGACTTTAGAGCAGCTCCAGTGCCTAAAGGGGCTACAAGGAACCTGGAGAGGGGCCTTGGACAAGGGCTTGTAGGGCCCCCCGGCCCCGCAGCTCCCACCTGCACATGATGTTGCGCAGTTTCTCCAGGTTGGCAGGGGTGAAGTACCAGTAGTTGCGGTCGCAGCGCTGCACGTCCTTCTCGATGCGGTGCAGGTTCACCGTGTACATGTCCAGGAGCTCTGGCTGCCCAAAGCAAAAGCAAAGTTGGTTTGTTTTCAAACGAAACCCAAGAAGAAAGTTGCAGGAGGAATGGGGAAGAGATAGCGAGGCCCCCAGGAAGAACCCACTCAGTGAACAAGCCCATACTCACTGAGTAGGTGACACCCGTTGAGGAGACAGCAGACGTTTCACTGTTGGCCAGATCAGCTACAGCCAGAGAATCCAGCTGTGGGTACAGGCTCTCCATCTCCGGCTCCTCGGAGAGGTTATCTTCACTCTCCACCAAGCTCTGCTTCTCAGCTTCGCTGTCTGCCCAGCTCTCTACCACAGTCAGGGCCACACGCTCACCTTCATGCAGGACCCTGGCCGGGCTCTCACCCACAGCAACAAAGTCCACGCTTCCACCGGTGGGAAATTCCCCTTCCAGGCTGTCCTGGCCCTGCAGCTTCTCCTCGTGCCGTGCACCACCGGGGTCCTGTGGGGCTGGCACATCCGAGCCACCCGCCTTTCCCTGAGAGCTGGCCGAGGACTTGGTGGTCTCCAGGGCACTGTCCTCGTTGCTGAAGCTGCGCTCGGAGAACCCCGATGCGATGGAGAAGTTCTGGGACGAGGGGTGGCCAGAGTCAGGGGAACACGTGCCGTTGGGCACCGTCCCGTTGGGGATCTTGCTTTGTTTGCCATCTTCCAGCTGAGCATCTGCTTCGGGCTGCTCCACTTCATCAACAGACTCAAACACCTGCAGTGCAGGAGCAGAGAGCGCCGTGAGAGTAAGTAAAGCCCCTGTGTCCAGCAAACTGTTGGGAACATGAGCATTATGTCCCCAAGAGCTGTATTCAGACAGCAGACAATAGCAGAGAAGGAGGAAAATCTACTCTACATGTACAGGGCTCCTACAAGCACCCAGTGGAAGAAAGCTCAGAGGACTTGAGGGCATTTTAATTTGCTAATGCTGAGCCTGGCTGTGGCTCCACGTCTTTGCCATAATAAAGAGAACTCCAGGCTGAGCATGTAGCCCTCTGTTCCACCTGAACCAGTCTTGGAGGATGTCTGGGCACAGGGCCTTTAGGCTCCCCTGCCTGGATTTTGGCAGATCAGTGACTGAGAGCACCACTCAGAGCCCACAGTCCCTGCTACAAAGGGCTATGCTTTCCTCAGCATAATATAGTGGTCAGAACATCATCTACACAGGTTGGTTAAACACATGGTCACTAACATATGGAGCAGTTAAGGGCCCTCAAGTGTGAAGGCCACATGGGGGTTGGTCCTTCAAGCCCAGGCAGAGCCGGCTGGTGAACATTAAACACCACCAGCACGGCGTGGTTCTGAGCTGGGTGTCCCCAGAGGCAGGGCTGGGAGTCACTTACCTCCCCTGGCTACTGCTCTGTTTGCCAGAAACCACTCTGGTTATTGACCAGCGACCTGCCCGAGCTGGGGCTGAGTGCCAGGGGCTGCCGGGTGGCCTGAAGGAGCAGAGGGGACAAGGTGCTGCTGCTCACCTGGGTGCTGGAGCTGGAGTCGCTCTGCAGCCGAGCGTGATTCTGTCGGCCGGAGCTGCAGCTCTGCGAGGACTGCAAGAGAGGGAAAAGGCCATTGAACAGGCAAAGAACATGGGGAGAGGCTCAGGCCATGCTGGCAGAGGTGGGCACATCTGCATGTACAGAGCAAGCTGAAAACGCATCCCATAAACTCATATCTGACCCATGAAAGACACTCACACCACACAGCTCTGCCCTGCAGATCAGCCCCAAGCGCAGCGCCCTGTCCCGGCTGCCACTGAGCTTCTGCTGGAGAAGAGGACAAAAGCAGAGGCCCCGGCCAGCCCAGCACGTGTGGGTCTGAGGGAACCGCTTTCTCCTGGCGCTGGGGAGCTCACGCTGCCTCCCTGGAGTGCAGATTTCTACAACCCCCTGGCCTAATTTGGCAGCAGCACTGCTCCCCCAGCCTGGTTTACATAAACCATGAAGTCACAGGCTGTAAAACCACCCCTCCGGGCACATTAATGGCTTTTTCCTTCTCTTAAAGGACAAATATTGATGTTTTAAGCCCGACTCAGCCGAGGCAGCCCCTCTAAAAGCCGACAGCACCCTATTCTGGCTTCCAGCTGAAGCACAGCAGGAAGGGTTGGGCTTTGCTGTGACCAGTTCAGCGCTCTGCCCCACGGATTCCCTCTGGGCAACCAGCCTTTGCTCACAAGCGAGTCCTCCCTGTTATCCAAACCATCCCTGTGCCAGGCTTACCCCAGCACGGGAGCCCGTGGGGCTCAGGATGCAGGGAGCACTGCAGGGACATCAGGCACAAACACTGGGGCTCTCAGAAAGCAGGGCTCTGGGAGCTGGAGCTGTCCCACCCTCGTGCTGTGGGTGTTCACTGGGCAGGGCTCTGCTGGAGAGAGGAAGGGCGACAGTTTCCCTCCATTACCATGGGAGCGTTGTCTAACAGGAAATTTCAGGTTGAGATGGGAAAAGGGAGAACCTTTGTGTGTGTGAACTCCGGCAGCTCCCCTCCCAGCGCCTTCCCAGAACAGGCAGAGGGGGATATGAAAGAACAACAGCAGAGATGCAGCATGGATCATAGAACCATGGAGTGGTTTGTGTTGGAAGGGACCTTAAAGCTCCTCCAGCTCCAACCCCTGCCCCGGGCAGGGACACCTTCCACCAGAGCAGGTTGCTCCAAGCCCCTGTGTCCAACCTGGCCTTGAACACTGCCAGGGATGGGGCAGCCACAGCTTCTCTGGGCACCCTGTGCCAGCACCTCAGCACCCTCACAGGGTGCAGCCCCCCCTGCTCATCCCCTGGGATTGCTGAGCCATCAGCTCTTCCACACAGACCCTGGCTCGGACTTGCCTTCCCTCCATCTGTACACACATACACCTACATGACGAGCTGAGCTCACCTCTTTCCCAAAGTATCCACACAAGCTGCCCAGAGGCCTCCAGGGCTGCACCTACTGAGCCCGCTGCAGCCTGGCCCCGCTCACGGCAGCACGGGGTCAATAACCCAGCCCTGCTGAGCCGCGCTGTTCTGCTCCAAGGACAAAACCCACACGGAAACACTCCCTGGACTCTGTTCCCAGGACGGCCTTTCCTTTAACAGCCTTTTCCCTCCACACCCTTTGGTGTGGGCTGTGGATCCGACTCCTCACTGCACTGCTGGAAGCCAGACCCACGGAGCTGGGTGCCAGTAGAATAGGGAACATGGAAAAGGGAGCCAAGAAGCCCACTGAGCTGTTTCACAGCCCCTGAGTGCCAGACATCATCTTCCTCCCTGGCTGACCCCCTGCCCTCTCCTCCCTGCCACTCCTTCTTCCAAGCCCACTGTGCTCAGCACAGATGCAGAGCAGGACAGTGCTGCTGCGAGAGCCAAAGCACATGTGTCAGACCTCCAACACACCACTCAGGCTGCAGACCAAAACCTCTTAGTGCAGCACCACACAGCATGGAAACGGGGGTCATCCTGCAGGAGGTGCCTCCTCCCGCTGCTACACACTCTGGAAGAGCAGATGAAAGATGGATAAGAAAGCTCCAAAAAGCTCTAACTTGTTTACAAGGATTACAGTGAGCAATGAGGTGTGGAGGCAGGCATTGGGCAGAGGAGGAGGGCCAGCAAGAACCATATACCCCATAGCACAGGCCAACACGAAGCTGGGTGAGCAGAGCCCGCGCCAAGCCCTCACCTCGTTGCTGATGGTCGAGTCCCTGTGCATCATCCTCTGGAGGTGGGAATCCAGGCTGGCCCCCGAGGAGCACTTGGCCAGAGCTGCCGCGTGTGACTCCTTCTCCCGCTGGCGGACGATGGCCTCGCAGCCCAGCCACTGCGCCATGGTGTGCTCGTAGCACGTGCGTGTCTGCTCGTCAGCCTGGGGGGGGAGAGGAGGCCCAGGGGCTGGGAACGCTGCCCTGGAGGAGCCCAGAACCAGCCCCTCCTGCACCCCCAGCAGCCCCGCACAGGGAAGGGCATGATCGTATGAGCCGCGGCTACATGTGGCAGTCACCCACCCCTGCTCGGGTTTGGTCCCTACTGAGAGGCCAGCACAGAAAGGTTGGACCAGATGATACTTGAGGTCTCTTCCAACCTGGGATTCTGGGATTCTAGGATCTGCACAGTGCCAACCACAACCTGACCCACAAAACCTTGCAAAATTAGGATGGAAAAATGACCACCCAGCTCCTTCCTGCCTGGTTTTATTGGAACACAACCAGCCAGCAGCTGCACAGGGGAGCCTGGGCTTGGTCCTGTCAACTCCTGCTTATCCAAGTCTTTATCCCTCCTCCTACCACCGCAGTGCAAAGGAGACACAACACCCAGCGGGTTCACAAGGTGGCCTCTAGCACAGAGACACTTCAAGCTGTGCAATACCCAGAGCACATCAATGCAATGCACCTGGCTGCTGAGCATCTCCATCCCCTCCTGTTCCCACACCAACCTCCTTCCTTTCTGCCTCCGTCATCCCGAACTGGTAATGGCCCAGCAGGAAGGGCCAGACAGCCTTCCTGATCTCGTGCTGGATCCCACCATAGTAGATCAGCCGCAGCAGCTCCTGGTCCTCATAACTCTGTGGGAAGAGCTCCGAGTGAGTGCACACACAGCCAGGAGCACAGCCCATCAGCTGGGGACAACCCCAGCCCGGCCGTGCTGCCTTCCAGCACCCAGAGCACTGCCTGGACACTGAGCACCTGCAATAGCACTGCCCATTCATTGCAGGTGATCTCTCAGATCTCTGCTTGGGCTTAAGTGGAGCCAGAGGCTCCTGTGGGTGGACATTTTGGGAAAGACTGGCCACCACGGCCAGGAAGTAGCCCACCAACCCCACCCAAGTAACCATGCTACCACTGCTGAAGTGATGCTGCCCCGGACACCCCAAGCCCACCACAGCAGGTATGTCCCAGGAGTTCCAGCCCTACCGTGCTGTCCTGCAGGTATCTCTGCCAGATGTCCACGGTGAGCCCCGAGCTGGCGTTGCAGGGCACATCTGGAGACACGATGCTGTGGTTAACCAGCGCCGAGAGGTGGGTTCGCACCGTGGAGAGGTGCCTGCAATAGGCCAGCCCTGCATCGGGCAGAAGCAAACACATCAGCCACAGAACTCAGGGAGCCGGGAGGATGAAGTGCAGGAGAAAGCTCTGACCTGGTTGGTCCCTGAAAGAGACCCTCAGCACCATTCCTAGCCCAGATCCCAGGATGTTGTCCCATGCCCATCACACATCTTAAGGCATCATGGATGTGACAAGTACTCACAGCCATAGAAGGCCCGGGAGAGGATTTGGTACTTCATGTTGTCACACAGGAGCTTCAGCGGAGCTCTGCCAATACAAACATATCCGTGTGAGGAGAGGAAATGCTCCCATGGGTTCCCTCAGCCCCTGCTTTGATCTGACTCCTCCAGCTTTGCCTTCAGAAGTGACCACAGGCCCTCTGCTCAGCCCGAGAGCAGCAATTGTGCCTGTCAGGACATGGCCAGAGAGCAGCTCAGACATCCCAGACGAGGGAACAAGCACCACTTCAGCCTGGACACGTCCCACTGGCCCCTGGACAACCAAGCCAAGCGTGAAGCTGAAGGCACCACTTGCACCATAGTAGCTCTAGTCTGGGCACCGGCTGAGCTGTCTCCTGTAAGCCTGCCCCGTGCCCCCCGTGTTCCCCACACAAGCAGCAGCAGAGCTGTCGTACCGCTCGTGGCTGCAGCCGTTGGGAGGGCCACCATCGGAGGAGCCGCTCTGCGAGCAGGAGGAGCAGGAGGACTTGCGGGTGCTGGGTTGCCACATGGGAGGCAGAGCAGCGCCTGGCGTGTCCATCAGGTCCTGGGGCACTGTGAGAGGGAAGAGAGAGGAGCATCAGTTGCAGCCCGACGCGAGGCAGGTGAGCCACAGGAGGCCAGAGAGGAGAGCTTTAACCAGCGTGTGCAGCATCCCATGCTCTTCCCAAGGAGGCCCCAGCCACCATTTAGGACCCACACCAGGTAATCACAGCACCAGCACTGGTGAGCTCAGGAGAAAGGGAAGGAAACAAAGAGGATGATGAAAGAGTGAGAGAATCACCTGCTAATTAACACAGTGCCTTCAGCAAGCTCATCTTGAACTGCTGGGTGCTGGTCAAGGCAGAGAACAAACACCCAACCCACAGAGGCTCGAGAGAAGGGGCTGCAACAGACTGTCACACAGATGAGGAAAAGCAGGAGCCAAATCAACCGTTGTGCCAGGAAGAGTGGATCACTGGAAGGGAAGAGCCCCATCTCTCAAGGATTTGGATCCCATCCAAGATGCTGGGAAAGAAGGGAGCATCCAAATCACACAACAAGAGATAAAGATTTGATGAAGAGGTTGAGAGGAAAGGCAGGAGCAAGTAGCTCTTCATGTCGTCACTTGCTAAATCCCTGCTTAAACTCAGAAGTGCTACTGCAGTGGCCTTGGCCATGGCTCAGGTACCACCCCACGCACTGGCCATGCTGAGCAGCTTGGCTGCTGTCCTGCCTGGAACAGCCCCTGCCCCTCAGTCTTGGGCCTCCCTAGGAGAAGGTGAACTGTGGGATGCAGAAGGATGAATGAAGAATAATCCTATTAACTCCTCCTTGGAAATTAAATCATGGCAGAAATCCCATCTTCCAGATGGGAGAAGGGTTCCTCCCTCACCTGGCTCTCACCAGCTCCCTGTCTGTGACACTGAGTAACTGATCCTGGCAAGAAAGGTGTTGAAATATCCCTATGAAAGCCTCTTCCCTTTCCCTGTGAGCCGGTGCTGAGGGGCTGGTGACAGTCAGGACACCTCTGCAGGAACTGTCAAGTGACAACAGAGGCAAACAGCAGCACCAGGCACGAACCGCAGCCGCATTACACTGATGCCCAGTGGTCCCCAGAGGGGCAAAGGGAGGTCGGGATGTGACGTGGAGCCTCAGAAACCACTTAGGGATCACCACCATCCTGCTCGCAGCTGCAGTCCTTGTGATCCTCCCTCTCCTTGTACTGATGGAGATCAGAGACACGAGGAATGGATGAAAATTACCATTAATGGGAACTAGAGACACAGAGAGAGGACAAAGGCACAAATCAAAGGGGATAAAGGCAGAATCCATTGAGAAGAAAGAACTGATGCAGTTCCACCCCCCTCTGGGCAGGTCCACAGGAACCTCACAGACTTGGATGATGCCAGCAGAGGAGATTGCAGCAATTCATTTCACAGAAGACTTGCCCCCAGCATGGAATTAAGGGGTAGATCAAAAGGAAGCTACAGAAAGGAGCATCTCCATCTGGTATTTTAGCCTCAATCAGGTTTTGATCTGACTCACTGAATTGTGTTAGTCAGCTAAAGGCAGGGAGAACTAAGTATAATCTTAACTGACGTTATGGAGGAGTCACAGGAGATGTGATTGCTCCCTTCTAGCCTCAAAATTATAGGAACAACTTTCTGATCCAATTTTGTAGCTTTTAAAAAACCCTCCACAAGTTCTATCACACTCTTGGTTTCCCCCTTATAAAGTCACCCACGATGTTCTCAGAAGTCAAAAATTGGTTCTTGGTATCCCACAGAAGAGTGAGGACAAATGTACAGTCATTTCAGCAGGCACACTGCTCAGATCACTCCCAACCAGATATTAACACAGATTTCTGGTTTGGTTTGACTCCAGCAGCATCCTCTCCTTTGCCCTGTGAGCCAGGGAGTGAAAAGACACGGCTCAAGCCTGGCAGCACGTTGAGAAGGTGCTGTCATCTCTCCTTTGCACTGCAGAAGGAACATAGAGGGATCTAATGCAGCGCTTGTCGAGCTGGCTTGGTGACAGCAAGAGAAGGATCAGCCCTGGAGGCTTGTGATGGTGAACAGTGACCCCCAAAGAACGCGACCAGAGTGCACCTTCCTACTGAAATGATGTGCAAGGATTTCCTCTGGCCATTGAGGCAGTCGTGGCCTGTTGTGCAGCTGCAGGTGAAGGACTCACCAGCAAGTGAAAGGTTAAAACAAACAAACCCCAACCCACACATGATTAAAGGCAGCAAAGCCCACTGCCCTCGAAGCACCTCCTGGCATGATCTGCAATGTGCCTGTCAGTGCTGCACCCCTGCCTGCTCACGCACCCCACGATAACCCACCCGGAACACTGCCAACACACTCACCGAATTCAGCCTGTGTCCCTGGGTAGATGATCCTGAAAACATAATCTGTGGCCTCGTCATCTTCCTTGTCGGAGGCAGACTCAGAGGAGCCCTGTGGGCTTCGCTTCCTCAGCTTGGGAAACACCTTTCCCTAGGAGAACAAAACCTGCTCTCTCAAGCTGCCCCAAGCTCACTGGCATGGACCAGCGTGGTCACTTGCCAACCTCCTATCCTGAATGATGTCTGCACCCTCCCCATGCTGGAGCAGCCTCTGGATTGTGCACAGGGTGTATACAACCCACACAGCACGGCCAGCTCCATGAGAACCAAAGCTATGATGCCTCATGGCCAGCACCACCTCCCTTCCGATTCACCCAGGGGGGTCTGTTTAGCTGGTCAAGGCCATGAACTAAACCAAACTGACATTTCAAGCCCAACTTCCTTAGTTTCAGAAGGAGGATTGTTTAAGATGCAGCAGCCACTGATGTTGGGCCGGGGTCCTCCCCATCATCTCTGCTCCAAGATGCTCCACAAAGGAACACCAGCAGGAGCCGGCAGTGCCCTGGGCTCAGAACAAGCCTGGGTTTGGGAGCCTACCTTTCCCCGCTGTGACCAGAGGGGTGGATCCAGCTGCCCATGGGGCAGGAGCCCGTTCTCCAGGCAGGACAGGAACTGCAGCAAGTGCCCTCCTCTGGGAAACCGCAACGGAGGCCTCTGAATCCCATCCTGGCTCACCAAGACAACCGTCCCACCGCTGTCTACTATTAACAGTGACAGCAGAGAGAAGACACAGGCACCAGTGAGGGACACGTTACCAGTCAGAGATGCAGAGGGCAGGCAAGGAAGTTCAGGGAATTGTCTTTTTGGTACAGAGAAGAAAGACTCCTCCTTGTCTGGATTCCCCTCTAAGTCCATTATAAGTCTGGGGGCCTGGAGAAGGTCCTCCTGGGACATCCCACCCTTGAAAACCACAGAGCACTGCTCTGCAGGGAGCACTCCCCAGCCGAGGAGCTGGCTTAAAGGTTCTCCTAGAAGCACTTACATAGTAGTGACCACCCAGAGCTCTGGACATCTGCCCTGGAGCTGAACTGAAACATCCCCATAAGGCACTCCCCAGGGATAACAAAGCAGGTGTTGGGGTGCTAACACCCCCCAGCACCCTCACTCCAGCCTTACCTTGCTGGTGACAATGCAAATACACAATCTCCTCCAGGCGAATAGTCATGGCATAGTCCCAGTACACACTGGAACAGAAAGAGAGGAAATTGTGAGCTTCAGGGATGCAAAAGGCTCTGCCCCTGTTCACATCAGCTCCAGATCCTGCCTCCAGGTATCCTGGTGCCAGGGGAAGCCACAGAAAGGATGAGGTCCCAGCAGCAGAGTGACTGCCAGGAAGCCAACCTGAGTGACAACATCTCTCCAGAACAATAGCACAGCATCTCACACCATCTGCTGCAGCTCACCTCTCCCACCACCTCAGGCCTCCTTCCACATCCCTTCCCGTTACAGGCTCAAGGATAATTGTTTTGCTCTGCAGTCAATGGGAAACTCACTGATGGGCTTGGACACCAGATCCAACCCCTGAATGTTCCTGGGAACGTTTCCCTCCCCTCTGCCCTGCACACTGGGGACCAGTCACCTCTTCTCGTAGTCCAGATCCCCCACTGTGCCGTTCATCAGCTGGTTGGGTGTCCACTTCAGTGCCATGATGTCTGCAGTCTGGTGAAGGGACAGATACCCTGGGATTGCCTCCATGTCATCCCGCTTGAGGAGAGAAACACAGGGAGAGAAGGAGCTGGTGAGAGCAGGCTGGAAGATGCCAGAAGCACAAAGCACCAACCACCTCAGGCTACCAGAGGCTGAGCCTCTGAGCTCTTCGGGTTCCTGAGTAATAAACCCCCAGTGGCTCTGCAGAACCTCCCAGCAGAGCCAGGAGGACACCTCCAGAGAAGGGTGGGGAGCAGCTGCCCAGCTGAGGCACAGCTCCACCTAAGCCATTTGCACCTCATTTGACTGCAATAGGCAGGCAGGGACAGGAAGAGGCATTTTGTGGCCTCTGGTCATGATGGGAAAGGAGAGGAGCTTGTTTCTACTCAGACAGAAGCAGAGGTCTTCCATTCCACTGGGAGCATCCGTATCACCAGGACCTCAACAAACCCAGCCCAGCCGCTGCCTTCCCAGATGAGCCTGTGCTTTCCTCCATCAAAGAGTTAACTGGGATAGATGGGGAGCAGAGCATTTTAAAGCCCAGGTGCCCCAGCAGGTACTTACTGGCTGCACCAGGACGTTGTTCTTGCCATAGAGGAGTGTGGCTCGGGAATTCTGGTGCAGTGACTCCACATAGTCCCTGGCAGACAGCGACGGCCGATCATCCATGCTGCCACTCGAGTGCCTCTTCTGGATCTGGAAGAGATCCACCCACAAACATGAGCTGAGCACAGACACCTCTTGCTTTCACAAAGCTTCTCTTGGAGCTCATTCACTCCTCACTTACAAAGTCACCACTAGAACTCACAGAATTATAGAGTTGGAAAAGACCTGCAAGATCATCAAGTCCAACCGTTACCCCTTTACTTTTGCCCTGTGTCCTCTAAGAGGATTCCTGGCTCCGGCCAAGCTCAATTCTGTTCTGAGAGAAACCCCAGGAGTGTGCTTTGTTTGCAATGAACTGAGCAGACTTCAGCTGCCTTGTTTCTTGTTCACACATGATGCTCTCAAAGGTAGAGCCCCCCGACGCAGAGCCGCA